TTGTGGTCCACTGATTGGTCAGATTATTTTTTTTACGTGAAGTAAAAAAGTTTTATGCAATACCACCTCCGTCCCACTGTCTTTGTCCACTTTTGACTTTTGGAACTGTTCATCTAAGCACTTTGACTCATCAAATTCTCTCAATGTGTAAGCCTAAAAATAGTCATGTGTGATCTTGTTTGATTCGTCTTAACATATAGATTATTAATATATAATTTTTATAATTTTTTAATATACAAATTACAAGATAAAATGGATTAAAGAAGTGCATTGGATGGTGTGCCAAAAGGTAAGTGGACAAAGACAGTGGGACGGAGGGAGTAAAGGTTAACTATTGAACCAACCGCACTCACTCCACTCAGTGTGATAGAGTGGTGAAACACAAGTGTAGACCAAAGGATCAATCCTCCACAATAAAGCTTTGGAAGTAAGGATTTAACCACAAATATGCCTCCATATATTTCAAACAAGGTAAGGTAAGAAACCTCACCGTCTAGCACTCCACCTATCTGCCGTGTTAGGGGGCTTCAAAGAAGAAAACCCATAATAAATAAGACTACAGACAAGAGCCACAGCCTGGAATGGTCATAAGAATTAAAATGAATCATTAACCAAAAAACACATATAACAGGAATATACATGGGCTTCACAAGTTTGAGAGTAGTGTAGTGTCATCCCACATCGATTAACTATTAAAACACAAAGAAAAACATAAGAACTTAAGCTACTTTCCAATAGGTGTTGTGTGTGTGTCTATATATATATATATATATATATATAAAGAAATTTATTAATTTATTTCAGTCTAATAAAAGTACAAGTGACATCACTTCTAATTGCTCCCTTTACAGCGTTTGGGAGATCGACAAATTGATTGTAGGTAGTGCAATTGTTTGCAGAAATTGCACTCTTTGCAAGTAGGTGAGCTACTGTGTTTTCTTCTTTGTAGATGTGTGTAATGTTTCATTTCTTAAATGGTATGTTACCATTTAAGAAAAGAAAAAGACAACAAACAGCTTTTGTGGAACATGCAAATAAGTTAAGGCCAAAACTTACAACATTTGACAGGGAGGCAGCATTCCATAATGCATAAACTCGGGCAAGTGAAGCTCTCCGTGGACCTTTGCTGAACAAGGCATTCACACCAGCGGGAAGAGGAGAAAGCAATGACAACGGAAGGATAAGCAGAATGGCCAGAAAAGCTCCAAGAGATATCCAATAGAATAGAAGCAAGGTTAGGAGGGTGACAAATAGGTCCACCAAGAGCATCATCGTAATGAGCAACTGTACAGTGTCCTGGAATACAGTGCACTATGCTCAGAGCCTTAGAAAGCAAAATATCTTTCCAAACAAGCCATACACATGTGCAAGCAAGCATGGAAATATTTCATACATTTTTCTAAAGTCAGGTATAACTATTGAAAAATCATCATTGCTAGCTAGCTATTTCTTTAAATCCATTTGCCAGTTAGCCTAAATTTAACATATTTAACTTGTTTAGTACAGATTCTTTGAAAAAAATCAAATGTAATAAAAACTAGTATCATTTGTTAAAATAAGACTTATTTGTGTATTTCCAATAGGCAATAGAGCTAAAAGAGTCATTTTTGTTAGGTTATTCGGTGAAGGCTTTAGAGCTTTGGGCTTTAAGCCCGGTCGGCTAAAGGGAAGAAGCATGGGGGAGGGGGGGCGGTTTCAGTTATTAATTAAAAGGCCCATTAGTTGTTTCTTGTTTAGCAAGTTGTTAACCCTAGTTTATATCTTATAAATACCCAATAATGTAACTATAATCTTGGAGCACCTAATAAAAGATAAACCCTAGTTGCAACCCGTGGAGTAGGTTACTGACCGAACCACGTTAAATCTCGTGTTCTTATTTTCCGCTATTTGTGTGTGTGTGTGCGTTTGTTCACTTCCGCTTGACCGCATCTGATCTCTGATTCCTAACAGTTTTTGACAATGTTTTAGCTTTGGGTAAATAATTGAAAAAATCAAAATGGCAAATTAAACTTCTCTTGCTTCTTACATTCTATGGAGCTTGGGGCAGTAAATTAATCAATGCATCAAAGGTCTAAGGGAAACTTCTCTATTTTAAGAGGGTAAGGTTGCATACATCTTGACCCCCAAAATAGTTGATATTATGCTGGGTTGTTGTTATTCTTCAAATAATACTTTCATTTTGGGATTAAAACAAGTCATTAAAGTGGAGTCTTTTTTTGGATGAAGGGAGTATTTTATATTCACAAATCAAAATTTTGAAGTACCTGACGACCAACTGGGCGTGTATTGTGCAGCAGCAGGGAAAAGGGTAAAAAATAATCTCTCCCGACAACCAAGGACTTCATTGTAGCTTCAGTTATGATACCACCATTAATTCCTCCAGTGGTCCTTTTAACAGACACCGTTGGACTGCAACATGTCTGATTTTCTTGTTGCACAAAACTTCTCCGAACAAATGTGTTAATTCTCCTGAAATACAGTTCCACATCAGTTTCTTTCCCTCCCTCTTTGTGGTGTGGGGGTGGGCTGGGCTGCAACAGAAATTATTATTGTAGCAATGGACCACATAACCATTTTTTTGTCTCTTTAACTACTCATGCTGTCAGCATTTCTTCTAGATTTGCTTGTTTTCTACAAGAGAATGTTTATCATATGGAGTATTTGAATTTGGGTTGAGAGTTTAATAGAACTTTTAGCATAGTTTATGAGGATGTAAAATTTATTACTAATAAAAATTAAATAAAACTCTTCTGTAGAGGTCATGTTTGATTGAAACAAATTTTTCGTATAACATTCCAAAAAAAAGTGTTGCAGACAAGATAAACTTAATTAATCCAACAAAATTTAAATAATGAGTTGGAATCATGATTTACACTAGTTGTAGCTCTCCAAAAAAACTTCATAACTTGGCCAAACATGACTCTTTTTTTAGGGCAAATTCTTTGGCGGTCCTCAGGTCCATACGCATTCTATGGAGTATGGACCTTAATACATAAAAGAGTTTTATGTATTGAGCCTTGTAAAAATTAAGAGATTCATCTATAAGCCCATGAAAAATTTGTGAGAAGGTCCACATTACACATGTGGACCTTAGGGCCACAATAGAACAACTCTTTTTGGGAGGAAGTCGTACTAACAACTGAATTGTAAAAGGCTTAAGTCGCCTCGTAATGTGAGATGCCCCTGAAAGTTTGGGAAAGAGGAAGTAGCGTATGTGGCATTGTTCAATTACATCAATAAATGCCATAGATTCAACATGTTCGAATCCACGGTCCACACCATTGCCACAGCGTGCATTCCTTCACTCTGTCTAACATTTTGCATTGACACTCACCGACTCACGATGAGAATAGTTTATCACCAACATTTATATGGTTAAAGAGTCTGATGGAAAAAGCAATTCAAAAGTTTCAGTGTAACTACATTTGAAAATAGTTAGTCATGTGTAATGTATTTATTCTAGATGTTTCTCACTTTTTTGGGATGCTAGCCCATAAACCCAGACACATTATTATGTACGAAAATGTAGTAATCAACTACATGATTCCTGGAAGAGAGAGAGAGAGAGAGAGAGAGAGAGAGAGAGGATGAACAAACCTGGACCAATCATCACTGCTTTCTGACATTTCAGGTTGCTGGAGACCATCATGAAGGGAAAAATCACCAACCACTACCAAAATTCCCAATTGATAGTACCCAGCAGCAGTTGCTTGGAACCACCCAAGCTCAATTCTAACACCGTGAAAATATAGCTGAGGGTTTGCATGACTTCTAATCCAACTAATGACAGGGATCAGAGAAGATTGGATGGATCTGTGCCTCACTGTCCTTAACTGGGCATTTAGACCTGCCACCAAGCGGTTCCAAACGGTTGAAGGAACATGCTGAATAAAAATAAAAGATTTTTAGTATCTGTCAATGTTATTGAAACAATAAATTAATGAATCTCACCAGTGGGCAGAAAACATACTTTGTGTGTGAGTGGGTGGGTGGGGGGGGGGATTAATAAACTTTACAATTTCCTTTTGGTTGTCTCAGAGTAAATTTCACTTTCCACTGAAGTTTATTTTGGGACAAAGGGAGTCAAACATGCAGGGACACAAATGAAAGTTACGGGGTAACACAAAAAAGAATTGGCTATGTGCGGCTGATGTGATTTTCTGCGCCTGTTGATTGACCAAAATTGGTCCCAGCTTGCATTGGTGGATGACCATGTCTTGTGGCTGAGAGCATGGAGAAGTTTAGACTTGTCGGGTGTGCATGGCAAGTCTCTTCCTACTATCAGTTTGCTTGGCCTTTAGATGAATTTATCTCTGCCTTCGGTTTGCTATTCTATTGGGCTTGTTTTTTACCTTTTTGTGGCCTGGTCAAGCCCTAGTATAACTGGTTTTTTATTCTAGGCTCTCCCTTCCTGTTGGTGTATCCTATGAGGGAAAATCCTCCTTTGTGGGGTTTGATTATACACCCAGTTCTAATGTTTACCTTATTTGGTTTTGTCGATATACTTCAGTTCTTTTAATATGTATGTAACCATGCATGCATGTACATATATTTATGATTAGACTGTAAGCAGACCTGGCCAAGTAGATTTGTTAATAATGTGTCACTGTAAAGATTATATGGTGACATGTAACTTCCATTCCCACCAAAAATAATGCACATGGGGAATCTTTTATGTATACTGGCTACAATATCTAAACGCTTCTCATCTCCACCAAGAAAGAAATCAATGTAAGCAACCATCAAGTCAGGAGTAGCTCCAACCTAAAAGCACCCATAGGACATAACATTAAAATCCAANCATGTACATATATTTATGATTAGACTGTAAGCAGACCTGGCCAAGTAGATTTGTTAATAATGTGTCACTGTAAAGATTATATGGTGACATGTAACTTCCATTCCCACCAAAAATAATGCACATGGGGAATCTTTTATGTATACTGGCTACAATATCTAAACGCTTCTCATCTCCACCAAGAAAGAAATCAATGTAAGCAACCATCAAGTCAGGAGTAGCTCCAACCTAAAAGCACCCATAGGACATAACATTAAAATCCAAAGAGGGTTACATTCAATTAATAAATTCTTTGCTCATATGCGGACAAGAAGTGGCAATAAGACAGCAAGAAAACACAAGTATTTCCTCTCGAAAAAGGGTTATGTTCCGCCTAAGTACAACTTAAGTTTGATAGGGGGGGCATTGGTGCCCATTTTCCAAACCACAAGGGCACCGGAGCCTATTTTCTGTTCATTTTTTTGGTTTTTTTCTTTTGCTTCTCTTTTTTCTTCTCTTTGTTTCCTTTTTACATTAAGTTTTTAATTTCTTTTTTCAACTTGTTTTTTATAATGTTCTAAAAATTCAAAATTGTTTGTGTTTGAAATAAAAAATAAATAATATGAAAAAAATTAACATATATTCTATCTACCTTGAATTAAATGTTTCATTTTTGTTTTCCAAAATGAAAAGAATTTCTTTTGGGACGTTTAAAAAGAAAATGAGGAGTAGAACATTTTCTTTTTTCGTTTTCCGAAATAGAAAGAAAAACCTTTTTGGGATGTTCAAAAAAGAAAATGAGGAATAGATCAAGGGAATTTAAAAAATAGAAAAGAAAATACAAAAAGAAAAAAGATACAAAAATACTCTTGTAGAAAAGGGAAAACGTAGCGAGGGGGTGCGCTACTAAGGTTCTTTTTGGGACATCCAAAAATGTCATTTTTGGATGTCCCAAAAAAAAGGTTATTCTTTTTATTTTAATATTAGAAGACTTTTTTCAATTTTTTGAATATGTTGGGCGTCGCTCCAAATAAGTCCTGATTTTTTGGGGCGTCCAGAAAAAGAACCTTATTCAAAAAAATATGAATTGTTGGACGTTCTGAAAAAAAACCATATGAACACACTCCATGGTTATGTTTACCCTTTTCTATAAGAGTATTTTTTTTGTATCTTTTTATTTTTTTCATTTTCTTTTTATATTCTTTTTATATTTTATTTCATTTCCGTTTCCTATTCTTCATTTTCTCATTTGAATGTCCCAAAAATTTTTTTATTTTTATTTTGAAAAAACAAAGAAATGAAAATGTTTAATTTGATACATGTTAATTTTTCATGTCAATTATTATTTATTTCAGATACAAACAATTTTGAATTTTTGTAATATTCTAAAAAAGAAACCAACGAATGATCAGAAAACAGGAAAATGGGCTTTGGTGCCCCCTCTTCGTAAACAAAATGAACAGCATATAGTAGGAGGGGGTGCATGTACAACATTTTTAAACTATGGGAAATGTATATATAAAAAAGAGGAGGGCATTGGTGCCCATTTTCCAATCCACATGGGGGGGAGCATCGGAGCTATTTACCCTTCGAACATTTTTTGTTTTGGTGAAAACTTACATTGTACGGAGTACTTTGATCATAAGTTTTGAAACGAGACTTTTTTTGGGACGGAGGAATAAAACCTGAAGAGAAAAATGCATGCCAAGCCCCTATAATTCCAGCACAGAACAAAAAATTTAAACAAGATATGTGCAGAAAGTTAAGTACCGAGATAAAGCTTACACCTTCATTCCTTTATATAAGGCACGTGAGCGGCAAGAACGTAAACAGGAATGATCATACTCAGACTTGACATACTCCTGAAGGCGATGAATTTTTTTCCTACGTCGCCATTGCTTCCAGGACCATGCACAAGGGTATGCAAGCACAGCAAGTATGCTGTGCACAGACCCTTCCCACCAATCATAAGCAGCAACAGAGTTGAACTCATCAATGAATCTGTTAAATGCATCTTCATACCTGTAACGCTTAAAGTTCAGACACAGAATGAACATTATATAATTTACATATAGAAAACAAGGTCATTTCTAATGTGCATATTCCAATTCTCCTGTCAGGTTCCATACCAATGAAGCAATTTTAGGTCAAAACAATTAAGAGCAAGTGTGCCATAATCTAATTTTTTGAAATTTGAAAGTAATAGTTTTCGAACTAATGTTTTTAAAGTATTGCATGTTGGTACATGTTTGATATTACCATGGGAGTGATGAGATCGTCTCATACCTTGATGAAGAAGATGAAATCATTAAAATTGCAATTCATACGACCCCAAATAAAGAAAACTACCAAAAAAAGGAAATCCTACCAAAATTTAGAACTACAATACTACATATGAGAAAGGCTGATCAGAACAGTAAAAAAGGATTTTGTTCAATAAATTCAAAAAGTCATACCAACAACTGCCTAGCATAATCACACCGACACCAATGCCAGTCATGTCAACAAATCCACTAGCAGTTAGTGTTTTCACTTACACAATCTCAATAATTGCATCAGGCGGCGAGTAAGGAAGATGCCAGGGTTCCCTAAATGTGTTGGGACCCATAAAGTACATCCTATAAACATGGCTTTGAGTTTCTTCACTTTTCGTACCGCGGACCTAAAAGTAATTTAAAGCAAAAGAGCTTACATACGAGCAAAGATTAAAATGTGATGTATCCAACTGTAGCAAAAGATTAAAATGTTATAAATATGCTTAGGGATATGTACCTCTGATAGCGAAAGGAGGTATGGGAAATGGTAATTTCCATGATGATTAATTGAATTTGAAGTCTGATGAGAAAAGCCAGGCCCTATCAACTTTTTTCTCAATGTACTTAGCAATATTGATAGGATAATCACAATGCAAGATAGCAGTAATGAGAAAGGCCAGGGTCCTCCAAACGTATATATCAACTCCTCCAAGGGTGTATAGCAGTTTGGCATCCTATACTTGTCCGATATACATTTGTATGGACAAGGTGATTGGGTAACTCCTCCTGCGGTGTTATATTTAAGCTAACATATCAACTATTGCATTGTAAAATGTAAATGATTTAGTGCCAGNACTAAGGATACTGACAATATGAAATACCTAATGTCAATGGTTCCATTTAAAGTAGCAAGAGGCTCATAATCAATGCCCTCATTTATCTTGGACCAGTGAAAATGAACTCTGCCACCGCCCCCACCACCTCCGCCGATGAGGCCACCAGAGCCTCCAACAACAGATAAAGATGAATTACCCATTAGCGCCAGTGCATGAAGAAAAAGGAGAATAGTACCACCAGAACCTCCGCCAAGTCCACAAATAAGAGAGTCATTTATGTTTCTCGTCGCTTTATTACAGCTTTGGCCATCAGCTTCCACAGATCCAAAAACATCTAGAGCTAAAAGTGGCCACAGACTGGAACCTAAAACTGGAATACATGAAAATTGAATGCAACTAAGCTAGTGAGTATGCCATAAGGTTATTATTATATTATTATTATTATTATTAATTTATTATTATCATCATCATCATCATGTGTAAATCTTACTAACTAAATCTGCAGTAGCGAATCTCCCTACATTCCTTTATACTCCCTCCATCCCGAATTAATCGCACCAGTTTAACTTCATAGAGTTTAAGAAGTTGTTGAAAAGCAGAAAGTGAACGGTTGAAATTTGATTACAGAAAAGAGAAAGATTGTTGACCACATACTCTTTACTTTATTTGGAATATTTAAAGAAGTGAGACGACTAATTTGGGACAGAGGGAGTTTATATATATATATATATATATATATATATATATATATATATATATATATACATACACACACACACACATATATGCGTCTAGATTGGTCAATTTTCCTCGTTCATTTTTATCTATCTATGTATGACATAAAATATTCAATACATTATTTACCCTTATTCAGTGTATCTTTTTTTCCCAATAGAAACATAAACAGGAGGGTGGCCTCTAATGAAAGATTTTTAGGTTAAGTGTTAGATTCTTTTTATCAATTTATAACTCATATACATTTTTATTAACCTATGTGATTTGGTCAACCTACCAATTCATAGGAAAGGATGTAGTATTTCACATGTAATAAACAAGAGTAATAATTATACACAAGAATCTTTTTAAATTCAATTTATAGATATTCTTGATTGCACAGCCATCCTAATTTTAGTAATCCCTTCATTCCAAATTATATGCCGTTCTAGAAAGGTCTATAACACATATTAAGGAATCAAACAAAGTGGCCTTTACTATCCTTGTTTGTGTTTAACATTACGTATTTTTTTTATTGTTGGAAATGTCGGCACAAAATCAATGAATGTAGATTAGTTAATAGGGGCAAAGTTGGAAGATTAGTAAGAGATATGCATTGAATTACTAAAAAGGCAATTATTTTGGGACAGCTGATTTTTTTCTAAAATGACATTTAATTTGGGATGGAGGGCGTACATTGTAGTTATTACCGAAGTGCCCGCTTGAAATTGATTTATGGATATGCAACATATATCTTGTAATAACCTTCTCAATTTTACCAATAATACTTTTTGGATAATACGTAGTAATTTTCTCACCAATTATACCCCCACCAGCAACTGGTTCATAGGATTGGACAGGACTCTTAGTTCCACTGCCCAATTCACATGGAAAATCAGCTCTGCCATATTTCTGCCCACCTTCACTCATATTCCCACTGCAGAATCCGGAACCACCTCTTCCTCCATGCCCAGCACCAGCACCTGCTCCATTTGAGTAGTTACCAATGCCATTGCTGCATCCTGAAAATGCAACACAACACAAAATATAATTCACGGCATTCTTGTATATGTGCTAGCAAGAAGCAGCTACATGACTCTAAATTCAAACACTAAGAAGCAGAAAAGACACATAATCAAACAGATAAAAGGTCTAAAATGACATGTAAGTCTAGAAGGTAAGGTAATGACCTAGTGCTGAGGCAGTTATTATGCCACGAGTATCCACAATGACACTTCTTGCTCTGTGAATGTGAATGATGCTACCCTTGACAATGCCATTTATAAGAATGTCCTCAACACGACAAATCTACCACAAGTTGACCAGAACATGTTATTATAGTTAATTCAAAATCAATAGCACATGTTTACTAGTATTGTAAGCTTTTTAATTTGCCCTATGAACAAAGAATATGACATAAGCACCCACGATATTTCATTCAGTATTGAAAAAGTACGCACTCATCTTACTTGCAAAGAAAATGAAAGTGTGTAGTTAGCATGGCAATCTTCTGGTGGAGCTATCAAATCCACAGGGCAGGTTGACTTATCACAGAGAGATTCAGTGACCCTGTTTGGAAGGGTAGGGTTAAGAGTTATGCACAAAAAGATAGTTAAAAGAGTTCAATACTAAGAAGTATAGAGAAGAAAAACAGAGTTTCATACTTGCTTTTACTGTTATAATCATCCAGTGGTGCTTGAAGTAAAGACTCTGGGCCAACCTAACAACACCAACATTGTTTGATGAGATTGGAAACAAGCGACTAGCAAAAACTTGAAATAATTGGAGATAAACCTATAAACATATAGTGGAATGAAACAATGCATATTATTTGATAAAATACACTTTATAACATGTATACTTATGCACTTCCATCTAGCACAATTTATAGGTTCTAAAGGTTAACACACTTTTCTAGAGGCGTAGTCATCAATTCTCAAAGCGTGTACATGGGCTGGTTAAAGTGAGGAGATGATATTATGCAGCCGATTTAAGTAATTGTACGAACACTGCAAACTTCCCCATTTAGTGATTTGCTTCCATGTTAACTAATACTCTCTCCTGTACTCCTACTTTACTCATGTTTACTAATTAGTAGTCCAACAACTTCTGTCTTTTCTTAATTCCATCAACATTATCTCATAACTTCGGTTCACATCCAATATAACTTCTGATACTTTATACTCCGTATAAAAAAAGAACGTTAGACAAAGTTGCTAAGTTTATACATTTTATCCACTAATACAAAATTAAATACGGAGTAATACACATTGTCAAGAAACCAACTTAACCAGAAGCTTAAGTTTGTGGTTGTAGACCCTTGAAAGGTTTTATATTTTAAGTTCTAACATAGAGAATTGAGTTCTAAATGGTTTGAGTCAACCCTCATTAACTAACCCGGTAACCCAAGCACATAAAATAGGAGAGAGGAAGCACAAGCACTACATATTGACTTGGATGTTCCTTTTTCGTACAATTTATTTTTGTGACACATGTGCAAATGTTTCAAACAGACCCATTCTTAAAAAGAGTCTGTGCAGGTGTGTGTGTGTGCACTTGCAAAGCTCTCATTTTTCATTTTTATCTATGGAGACTTACAAATCCCATATCCAAGAATAGGTAATAGCCAACAGCTCTAGAATCAATACAAAGGTCCATATTAATCAAATTTTATGTTTTAAACCTTATATTTCCTAAGATTTCTAAAATCCTAGAATTAATCCTTAAACCAAAATAGCAACTCCGAGTAACATTTATATTTAATGGAAAGAGGGGAATAAGAAGACTGCAAAAATTCAGTATTACGGTTATATTATAGAATAGTGACAAGGAAAGTCGTTGGCTTTTGATTGCATCACCCTGACCAGTCAATTCCAGGTACCCTTGACCATATAAAGCCAAATTTGCATTTGAACTGATAACAGAGCTTCCCTGCAAAAAGAATCAATCCAAGCCTCAATCTCATTTTCTAGGTTACTGTTAATCTGTTCAGAGACATTTTAGCTTGCTACCTTTAGAACAACAAGATTCCTCACTTCAAGGACTGAGGTAGTAATAACAGACTTTTCTCCACCATCAACTTGGATTTGTGACTGCAGCATGAGTAACATCTTGACAGCAACTCTAAGTGCACCATAAACCTTAATATAAAAGAGAAAATCAATTGCACTTTATTCCCACGAACATTTAAAAGATTAAAATGTTAATACATGCTACTGAGCAGAAAAGGAATGGAAAATGCACATGTTATTTTCTAACCCAGGTACTCCCAGGCTAGTGGATATAGTAAGTTCACAATTACAAATCCAACAACAATGAAAACCCTAATAAAATCCCACCACAGTCTAGGGAGGGTGGATGCATGCAGACATTTCCCTATTTATAAAGTAGAGAGGTTGTTTCCAAGAGAAAACTGGCTCAAAAACAAAAGGAACACTGACAAGCAAAGATAGGAAAAAGGAATGACAAAGCAAAGTTGCACGAAAGCAAGCATACATGTGGAAGCATCAAACTTAGTCATAACTCATGTGACCTTATGTCTAATAATCTCTTTCCAACTCTTCGTAGGTCAATATCTACCCATCCTAATGTCTCCTACCTCAAGCCTCTTGCAGACTTGCACCTCCTCACCAGAACATTTGTACTTCCCCTCAGTACGTGTCCAAGCCATCTCAAACTAATTTCGTGTAGTTTATCCTCCACAAAGACCAATCCCACCTTCTTCCAAATAGCTTTGCTCAAGACTTTATTCATCCTCATATGACCACACACCCATCTCTGCATCCTCATCTCTGCCGCTCGGAGCTTCAGAATGTGAGTTTTCTTCACCACCCAGCACTCAAATTTGGGTAAAAAAATACCAAAAGGTATCATGGATATTTTTCCGTGCCTTTAACATATCATCGCTTCCCTTTAACATGTAATCCTTCTGATATTGAACAGCACGGCTTTTTCAAAATCCACATACTGACCCTCTCATGCTACTAATCCTCACATCATAAAACTTGGGAAAAATTACTCACATAGTCACATACTGATGGACTATGTAAAAATGCTGGTAAATAATGTATTAATAGCCACCAAGACAGCTTTCTGTTCTCAAGTGGACCACTAGAGAACCGTTTTATCTCTACAATTTGAAGGTAATGCCTGGTCACAACCATTACAAAAATTGTGAATAATGCCAGCTCACTTAGCTTGTCAGATGTGTACTTATTAAAACCTAATATTTGTGCATGATTTACATGCATCAATTGGTTGATCTACAAATAACTTAATTAAATCTTGTACGAGCAAGCTGAACTTGCAACATTTGTTTAGAATCTTTTGCTATTGCTTGTACTTGTTGCTTGTACTTGGCGCTTTATATGTGCTATATTGTGTTCCCTTCCTTATTTTTGTGCAGGTGGAGCCGGGGGTCTCTTGGAAACAGCCTCCCTACTTCCGAGTAGGGGCAAGGTCTGCGTACACACACCCTCCCCAGACCCTACTGTTGTGGGATCCAACTGGGTTGTTGTTGTTGTTGTTGTTGTAAATACTCCCTCCATTCCATATTTAGTTGAATAAAGACTTGGGCTGTGGCTTGGTTGGATGCATTTCAAATCCCATCTTATCGTACGCAGCCCAGTTTTATGTCCGGCCCGACCCTTATATATGATCAAAGAAATCAAGTAGGTTATCTTGGTCACCACCACACACATAAGACTCCACACACATAAGACTCTCCGATCCTCACACATCATTCAAGTTCAAATTACCATAAAGGCAAATGAAGTGATTCTCAAACAACTAACCTCTGCCCCCTTGACAAAATAAGTAAAAAATTTTCAAAAGTAGATATATAAAACTAAATTTTATTTCAAAAGTAATAAAAAAAATAAAATATTGAATGACGTACAAAGTATATCGTAAATTAACAAGGAATATAACCATAACATTTCAATTACTTTACATTTATATATTCTATTTAAACAATTCGTCTTATTTTACTATAATTTTTTTTACTCGGAGCACAATTTCCTTTTTTTACCCAATGCATCCTTTTAATCTAGTAGAGTACTTTTTCTTTGTTTTGGGCTCAATGAACGGGTAAGAATCATAAAAAAGCAAAAAAAAGTATTTTGTGTGAAAGATTGAAACCACACACCATAAAAATTAAAATCACACTATTAAAGAGGCTTTTTACAATTTCATACTTATAAAATTTGTAAATATGTTTGAAGTAAATTTCTCAATGTATTCATGTTACCTATGACTTATTCGTATTGTAATCCGACTAGATTAGAAAAATAGTTTATAATATCTACGATCAGATCACACCAGATCAAATTAGAATTTATGTTAATTTACACTCAAAGAATTTGACGCACTCCATTGAAAATGTTTGTTAATCTTTGTTTTGGGCTCAATGNGTAAGCATATGAAAATTTTAAACCACACTCTAAAAGAGGCTTTTCACACTTTCATACTCATAAAATTTGCAAATATGTTTGTGGATAAAAAAACACGGTATATAATATACGCCATACACGCGAAAACATTCATGTTCGGAAAGATTAATACTCGAATAAGCTAATAGAGTCATTACAAAGACTCAAGGTGTTACTAAGTCACGGGCGGGCAAGTAGTAACAAAACAAAACATAAGTATTTTAGATGTGGGGAAAAACAGTAGAGGGAAAAGAACAAGCAACAGAGAGAAAAGTCTGTAGAGGTAGGGAATTTACAGAGAACTTAGGGGCTGGGAACCTTAAATTATCTACCTCATTTTTTGCACTAGAGAGTAATTGGACTTGTATAGACAGTAAAGTTTGCTATACTTCAGCTTGATTCCAATGCCCTTACTCAACCTCTTCATTGATTCAAACGTCCTCGCATCCACCGGCCTTCCGACAGCAAAGCACAACTCACTTCCTTGCTAAGCACTTGAAGGAATTCACAAGTTCCTGCAACTCAATATTATATCTTCTAAATCATGCATTGCCCCATTAATTTCAATGGTCAATTCCTCGACCAATTCCCTTTAAACCTCCACCTCCTTACATTTTTAGATATTCCCGTCGTGAGCTCTTCAATTTTAGTCGTTAGAGCATATCCCTCCAATCCATCTATGGATTTGCTTTTCAGCTTCTTGCACTTCCTTTTTTCAACTCGCAGTACTTCAGATTTCTCGTTCAGCTTTCTCAACAATGCACTCTTTTCTTCCAATGGTGGGACCCTTGCAGCCTTGAGTCATTATTGGTCATTTCAACCACCGCATGTCGAATGCTACGCCACTTATGGGGAAAGGGAGGTTTTTTTTATTCAAGGTTTTTTTGCATTCGACGCGTGGTGGCTGAAATGACCAATAATGATTCAAGGCTGCAAGGGTCCCCACCATTGGTAGAAGAAAAGAGTGTCTTGTTAAGAAAGTTGAACGAGAAATTTGAAGTACTGCGGGCTGAAAAAAAGAAATGCAAGAAGCTGAAAAGCTAAGCCATAGATGGATAGAAGGGACAGGCATTAACGAATAGAATTGAAGAGTTGACGACTGATTTATCTAAGAATGTGAAGGAGGTGGAGGTTCAAAGAAAATTGCTCGAGAAACTGACCACTGAAATTAATAAGGCAATGCATGATTCGGAAGAGCTAATGCTGAGTTGCAGGAATTTTGAAGTCCTTCAAGTGCTCAGTAAGGAAGTGGGTTGTGCTTACAACCACAGATGATGTGGAAGCTATACTTTGCAGTCGAAAGGTCGGGGAATGTGGGGACATTTGAATCAAGGAAGAGGCTAAGTAAGGGCATTGGAATCAAGCTGAAGTAAAGCAAACTTTACTGCTTATACAAGTCCAAATTCTCTGTGGTGCCCAGACATGAAGCAGATGGTTTAAGGTTCCCCAGCCGCCGCAATGTTCTCTGCAAATTCTCCACCTCTACGGACTTTTCTTCTACTGTTTGTTCCTTTTTCTCTACTGCTTGTTCTTTTCTCTCTACTGACTTAGTAACACCTTGATGCTTTGTAATGACTCTATTAACTTATTTGAATAGTAATCTTTTCGAACATGAATGTTTTCATGTGACAAGCTTATTATATACCATGTTTTTTTATCCACGAACATATTTGCAAATTTTACAAGTATGAAATTGTGAAAAGAGCCTCTTTTAGAGTGTGGTTTCAATTTTTCATACGGAGTACCCCCCCCCCCTCCCCTAATTAGGGGTGGACACAGTACACTTCAAATACTGTATTGGCTAGTTTCCACCACCTTCTATTTTTTTAAAATATTAAAAATGAGTAATACACGAACAACTACATTTAATATCTTGACGGTTCAAAAAAAGCGACGAGATAAAGAACCGAAAAGAAACCCTCGAAGAAGCTTATATATCGCTCACCTAAAAAACTACTTACATTAATATAAAAAAAAGTTTATAATATATTCATCAGAACTAGGGCTTCCATTGTGGTTGCATTCATGTAATTGATATGCACATATTTTATACACTTTTTAGGCATATTTTGAAATAGTTTGAGTCCCAATTGAATTTAATGTTTACATTTTATTTCATTTTTCCGTTTTTGGGTAGAACGGTCCTATGCTTGGTTTTATATGTTTTGCAGGTATTTTGAGGTCATTTGGACACATGGAGAATAATTGCAAGAACGGAAAATAAATATGGAAGTTTGGGACCAAAATAAATTGAAGAGATTTGAAGAAAAGAAGTAATTAAATAAAAATAAAGAAATAAAACGCCGCTGGGATTCGAACTCTAGACTTCAAGGCATGGAACTGGAGTTTTGACCATCGCACCACAAAAGATCTTTCGACATATTGGTGGCGGATACGCCTTATGTTCTTTTCTAGTTCGGCCCATCAATCGAAGAAAAAAAAGACAAAACACCGACACTGGATGGGGAATCAAACACGGGATCAAGCGGCGGAGACAAACAGCCTCATTTCCATGTGAGCTATTGTACCTTTGTTGACATTCTTGGGTCTGTTATACGAATTTATCTATAAAATTCACTCCCTTCTCTTCTTCTAAAGTGTTGGAACCCCCCATTTCTCTTCTCTCCACTTTCCGAAATTCTTCTCCTTTCTCACTAATATCTCACCACTTTCTTTCTCCAAACACATAAAAATTACTCCATCTTCATCATCATCAACACCATCTATTATATTTGGAGGTCAAGAACACATCTTCCATTTTTGTAAGATTTCATTATTGTAATAAATATTTATTTGTTTAAGCTTCAAACTATGAACTTCTAAATTCCATTAGGGTTAGAAGTTGGTGTAATTAATTGTCCATCTTAATGTTTTAAATATTTTTAACATGGATTGTTAATTTTATTTTTATTTAGATGTTGTATTTAAAAAAATAAATAAATCTCGAATGTTTGTGATTATTAAGGACCCTATCATAAACATAATTGTTAAAAGTAATTTGAGCTAAAATTGATATAATCATAAAATAGAACACTTTTTAAATACACCGTAAGCATTTTCTACCTTTAACCGGGATTGAAGACTTTCGGGTGGACATAATTATTGAGTTGTATTTTTACACCATTAAATTGGGTAAACATACAATAAAATAATTATGGTTGCCGTTGTTACTGAATAATTACTCCGGATTTATCATTAGCGTGTTAAAGTCGGAGTGGCGCGCGATCAAGGATATGTACTGTGGGGCTAGGACTAGGGTAAGGACCTCCGGGGGCGACTCCAAGTCATTCTCGGTAGGGATGGGGTTGCACCAGGGGTCTGCCCTAAGCCCTTTGGTGATGGACGTCCTGACACAAGGTGTTCAAGAAGGGGTCCCATGGTGCATGCTTTTTGCGGATGATATTGTGCTTATCGACGACACGCGTGAGGGACTTAACGATAAGTTGGAACGATGGCGCCTTGCCCTTGAGACCAAAGGATTCAGAATAAGTAGGAACAAGACAGAATACATGGAATGTCATTTCAGCGGTCGGGAAACGGAATCAAAAGTGGAAGTTAGGATTGACTCTCACCTAGTGCCTAAGGTGGACAAGTTTCGGTATCTTGGCTCGGTAGTTCAGGCTGATGGGGAGTTAGACGGGGATGTTGGGCATCGTGTTGGAGTGGCTTGGGCCAAATGGCGGTTGGCTTCAGGGGTGTTGTGTGATCCAAAGATTTCGCCCAAGAAGAAAGGTAAGTTCTACCGGTCCGTAGTCAGACCTGCTATGTTATATGGGGCAGAGTGTTGGGCAGTTAAGATGACTCATGTGCGTCGTCTGCATGCGGCAGAGATGCGGATGTTACGATGGATGTGTGGGAAGACAAGGTTGGATAGGATTTCGAACGAAGTTATCCGACGTCAGGTAGGCATGGCGCCGGTAGAAGATAAGCTGTGGGAAGCGAGGTTGAGATGGTTTGGTCATGTGAGACGGCGGAATGCGGACGCCCCTGTACGGAGATGCGAGAGGGTTACGGTCATCGGGGGAAGTAGGGGTAGGGGTAGACCTAGGAAGAATTGGAATGAAGTGATTAGGCAGGATTTAGGACTTCTCGCCCTGACTGAGGATATGGCTTTAGATAGGAACCTTTGGAGAACTAGGATTAGAATAGCTGGTTAGGGGCCCGGTGCCTCTGAGGTTTTTTGTAGTGTGTTTTGTTGGGTTGGAATCCTTTGCCTTTGCTTGCAGGACTTTCATTCCATTGTATTTGGTGTTTTATCTGTGTTCTATTGTGCCCTATCATATTTTTTGTGCAAGTTGGAGCCGGGGGTCTCTTGGAAACAGCCTCCCTACTTCCGAGTAGGGGCAAGGTCTGCGTACACACACCCTCCCCAGACCCTACTGTAGTGGGATTCAACTGGGTTGTTGTTGTTGTTGTTGTTGAGTTAAAGTCGAGAGCGTCCCTAAATACTTTTCTGCAACCCCACACATTCTATATAAAAATAAATTGACAATCCAACTGTTATAAAAACATTGGACAATTAATTTACCAATTTCTACTCCTAACTTTTTATCATAAAAAACTTTGTGTTGTTTGGAACTCTCTCTTTTTACACTTTTTATTTTATCTCTAAAACCAAAAAGACCAAAAAAAATATTTTACAACTTCTTTGGTAAACTTTTGTTTAAATTAAATTAACTCACGTCTCCTTGACGTTCGACACCCTACTTACAAGGGTTCTTTTTAGTTGTTATTTTTGCCCGTTCTATACTGCAAATCAGTAATGTTCGGCATTAATGTCGTACCCTGACTCTTGAGCTCGACGTCTTGTCAAGAGTCATTCTCGATTGCAAACAAGTGTCTCAAGCGATTCAGCGCTAAGACAACTTCGGTAGTCGGTTTGAATATTGCCGCTAGAACTGCATTCTCGTTCCACAACTACGGTTGAAGCCGGGACGGACAAAATTGATTTGGCTAGCATTCTGAGAGATGGGAACATTTGTTCGTTCTGATTCCACCATTCGAGGACGTCAAAGTTTTGACTAACAATATCACTTAAATTATATTGAAAAAAATTCTAGAAAATAAAATCAAACATCCAACATCATCAGAACAGATTAAATAATGCAAAAACAAAAGTTTATAAAAATACAAGTATACCTTTATAATGGATCCACTCATTAGTAATTCCTCGGCAACAAGCTCAAATTCAGATACTGGATAATCAGACAACCCGAAGACTATACTACTCCCGCATAGAAGGCTAATTTGGCCTCTAACCTTCAACCAGGAAAGACAATTACTCAAAAAATGATCCATGAATGAACTATTTATTGCCCTACTCAAGGTCTAATGAAACTAACTAGCATACAAAAAAGAACTGATGTGTTGCATTTTAGGAAAAAAGTAGATTTCATGATCCATACTAACATAAAGTAGAGAGACTATTTAATGGAATAATTTTTACGATAATATATTTAATGCAAACCATGTGTATCATCAAAAATGGGTTAATTATACACACACATTGGGGGGTCTGCTGCATCAATAATCAACATAATCCACACATCTAAAATCTAATTTTGTACAATAAATACTACGTACAATTTTCAAACCTGAACTCTAGTCCAAAGTAGAGGAACCAAAACTTTTGCATTGTTCTCCACGTATACATTTGTCCACAAGGGGGTAGTAGAAAAATCTAGCAAAGGAGTCTCTGTTTCTGTTGTTATATTATTATTGTCCACCCGTAGACTTAACATGTAGTCATCAAAGTAAGTACCAGAAGCCCCACCGTTCCAAGGGCACCCAATACTCTGACCACCTGCAAAGGAATGCAGCATAATAATAATTAATAAATAATGAACAACTCAAATAGGAGCATGAAATAAAGGTATAAAGAAGCTAAAAAGTTGATGCATAGCAGTGAGGATGGTTTTTCACTCGTGCATGTGAAGTAAGTCAAGTAACACCTAAAATTTGGACACAAGTCAATAAGTAAAATATATTATAGACCAATGTGGCCATAGATTCATATCTAATTACGACAATAATACAGCCAATGTGACTAGCCTCAGAGAGATTAGGTTTGAGGTCATGAGGCAGATTTTAGCATTTATTAGGACAGACAGTATGCAGGTATCAAATCTCAAGACCACTGCAATTAGAACTGTCAAGGTGACAAGTCAACCACAAGCTTAAGCTTGTAGTTGTAAGCCCAAAAGGTTTTATACTCAAACAAAAATTTAATTGAGTTCACTTAAGTGGGTCAACTAGACACTGTGATGTTCAGCTACTAAGAAGACGATATTCATTCGAACATTAGGATGTGAAAACACACTTAAATCCATGTGTATTAGTATTTACCTAGGTATTCTAATATCATTCAACCGTTGTTGTATTGACCACTAAGTCGGCAATTTATGAGCCTTTCTTAACTACGGTACATTTTCCTCTTTCCCATCATATTTTTTAGAGGATCTCCCAAGTCTCATCTATCACATCTTGATACTAATTATCTCCTCTCCATCAAATAGAACTATCCACTATGCAGTGATGTAATAATAAGAGTAGAAGACTGCTATAGTGCAACTAAATAAACTAAACATGTTATCTCATTCACTGCTCTAAACAAGAATTTATAGAGCCTTCTTGGTAGTAGAGGACTTCCCACTTCTTTCTTAATCAACTCTCTTTCAATAATCTCTTCCCCTTTTCATGGGAAAAATTCAGTCTAACAATGATTGAGACTAAACATGTGCTACTTGTCAGCTCATTATGATGTCAAAAGACATTTGGTGTACGAAACCAGGCTTCATTTTGCCTTTTTTACGTCAAATTAATTAGAAGCAGAATTCAACACAGTTCTGACAGAATAATGCAGATAATGAAAAATCAAGATGTAGTACATCAAGAATAAGATCCAATGAAGCCTCTATAAAAAATTGAAGAGATTGGCTATCAAATTTTAGCTGTCCTACCATGCACAGTGACTTTTACATCTTCTTGCTTGCTGTAGCAATTTAGAGAAATTCTTCCACCACCACCACCACCCCATCCAGTTCCACCAGCTGCACTTATCATTCCATTACCCTTCCTGTACAGACACATTTAATAAAGCAATTACATAGAAGCATGTAGATGCTATTCATAATTGGTTCAGTGTTTACAGCAAACTACTTGATAACTTATAAGAAGAAGTAAACATGTTTGTTTACTAGCCTATGTCATGTGCACAAATATGCCATCTAGTTAAAATGACATGTTCTAATTTGGTAAGCCAGATTTTGCAGGCACATATTGACTCCGTAAACGTAATTTCAGTAGAAAATGGTGACGGATTCTAGTTAAAATGACATTCTAAATTGGGAAGCCAGATTTTGCATGCACATATTGACTTCGTAAACGTAATTTCTGTAGAAAATGGTGACGGCAACCATAACTCTGAGTCAGCTCCAACATTAATGCACTTGATAAAGCAATTATTTTCTCAAGAATCCTCATTTGAAAATTGGCCACTGTTTATTCATCACTTTCTTTGAATGTGAACATGAGTGCTATTATTCATCACTTTCCTTCATTGTCTCCTCCTCGTGTAACCTCACTTAGCTAAAAATTTATAATAAACTATGAATAGTTGACTACGTTGCTACTTGGAACACATAAACGATTCTTCACCGGCTCAGAATTTAGAGTGGCAAAAATTCACCTGTCCCATCGGAAATTAAAATTGTGATTTTCATGCTCCAATGTCTTAATCAGGTGTCATATATGGTTCTAGATTTAGTTCCAAACCATACCAAAGTATGAAATTCAAAAAATGTAATTTTCTCCCAATGAGCAAGAATTCAAATCAAAGTGAGGAATATATCATACTAGTATTATTCTAACAAAAATTGAAAAGGAGTCGGCAAAAGATAGTAAAAGTGGGAAGTCCACTCACAACTTTTGAGCAAAAATAATGATGCTTCCACCAGATCCTCCACCTCCGTCTGGGCCTCCATCACCACCATTCGAACTTATAGATCCATTTGTATGCAATAAGTCTTTAACCTCAAGCAAAACACGTCCTCCACCACTTCCTCCAAGCTTATGCTCAACAGATGTGCCACTGCCCTTGCTTCCATAAGACCATGGCTTCGACAAAGTTGACCAAGCGTAAACATCACCACCCCAAGCATTTGTTTGATTGGCTTTCAGGCATGATGCACCTCGTCCACCATGCCCTCCACCAGTTCCTTCATAGCCAACTGGTGTGCCACTGGTCTGAGAAGGAGGTGATCCACCCAATGCTGTTGTATTTATAGAAGAATTGGACTCCATAGTCAGAGTCAGAGATGAAAGAATAATGGAACCAGCTATTATGGCAGCATCCTGGCCAACATTAACATTACCAGACAAATTGATACTTATGGTGCATCCTTCCATCGGACAAACAATTAAAACTTGAGAAAGTATCTCCAAGTTTCCAGAACCTGATACATACAAATCAGAATTTATGTACAGGTTTGAATTCAGATAGCAGGTGGTATCAAATGATCCAACACCTTCGAGATCCTGACAAGACACCAAGTTTATTGAAGCAGTAACACTTGACTCTTGGATGTGGGTTGTGATATTATTTATGGATCCAATATTCCCAAATGGTATAGAATGGTCAAAAAATCCTCTTTCGAAAGGTTCTCCCTTACGCTGCGATGCAGCAGCTGACAATGAACCTATGAAGAGATTCCCGCACAAAAAGCACCAGAAGAGGTAGCATTTTGTTCGCATTACCCACATTACCGCACAAAGTATGTTGAGATCAATACATGAGATTGTGCTCCACTCCAGGGGATCAATAAAGATGAAACAAGTAAGATATTGATCCAATAACGTTCTGCAATATCAGGTCCACGTTTGGGCAAAACCAACTGTTTCTACTTCCTAGTTGCCACACTGTAAAGAACACATTTATACCCTCAATATCATGCAGTTCAAGTGTAAAACTAACTACCACACAGTGAAATCAAACCAAAAGCAGACTAAATGAAGTTGTTAGAGTATAAAATCATTCTTAGGCCTACAAAAGCTCAAGGTTGTGGTTGTAGGCCCAAGAATGATTTTATACTCTAATAGAAGCATTTAGACATGAAGCAAAATTGAGCTGAAAACTAAACTCCCTAAGTGATGAATGCGCAAAAAAAAAAATTCCACCCTTCCATACTCCAAGCATTAGCACTCATCAAAGCCTGAACATGAAAATCCAAAACGCCACAAGCCCACAACTATTAGTCTACTAATTAATACTCCAAACAAATCTTACAAGCTCGTGTACACACAGCTGCACTAAGTCACCCTCCAATCCTCAATTCACTCGAGAAAAACAAAGCAATTCCTAAATCTCTCTGGAACAGAGCCACTCCAAACCTCAAGTCCGCAAAATCAGAATCACACAGCCACCGATTATGAGTGCGTGCGCGCGAGTGTGTTTTTGTGTGTGACAGGGAGAGAGGAAGCACCTAGTTATAGGAAATCTGGGGAAATTTCCTGGAAGAGAGAAATGGAGAAATCGTTGTCTTTTCAATCATCACTGAATTGAAATACAGTAAAGTTCATCAATGAGCAGAACGAAGCCAAGTAGCAGCAAGCAAGTGAGACTAAGCTTTCGCCTTTTTCAATCTTCTCCATACTTTATTGCTTTTTTATCATCTTTTTCAGTAGAGTGACGATGGCGATGGCTTCCTTTGTTTTTTTTCGCGAGAGAGAGAGAGAGAGAGAGAGAGAGAGAAGGTCTTCGCGAGTCCAAGTGAAGAAGGTAACTCCGTTCCGTCTCTGTTGGTCTAGCTGCTGAGTTACGGCGTTACTCCTTTTACCATTTGGGCCTTTGAGTAATTTTGGGGCCGACACAGTCCGGTCCAATTTTTATTCTCCAAAGGCTGAAGTGGAAAGTTTGGAAGTTGGAACCATTTCTTGGTCGTTCAAGTTCTGATTCTGGTCTCGGTTCTTGAAAAGGTAGAATGAGAAGATTGAAACTATTTTTGGATCGGCTTTCAATTTGAGACGGTTCAAGTTCAAATTTTGATACCATAAACTGAGAACCGAAACCATTTCCCCACAAGTCCACAACTTTAGTTCCCGAACGGCTACACTTCTGATTCCAATATGAAATCTTGTTCATCCCTAATAGAGTGTTTGGTGATGACTATTCAGTAGTGGGGCTTTGGTTCTTATTTTTCATATTTTGACTCTCTTTGTAACACCCTAATTCGTCCAAGTCTGTAACTCCTTTCAGATTAAAGTATTACTCCCTCTGTCCGGATTTCAAGTTCTCACTCTACGCTTTTCTCCGTCCGGAAATAAAGTTCCCATTATACATTTTCTAACCCACTTTTCCTAAACTACCCCTCTCATTAATACACCCTTCTCGCCCAATCCTCCTACCACATTCATTACACCCTCCTGTCCTTCTTTCCGCAACTCTTCTGCTTCCCATATCCAATCCGCCCAATTCTTTCTCCCTCTTCTCCTAGAACCCTAGATCTCTGCCCATGGATCCGCATGACTATTTCTTGGATTCCATCATTCCAGAGACGGAATTTCAAGATAGTTTGGGTGAGGTCGAAGATTTAATCTCTGATGACAGCGTGGTGGAGGAGGTTATCGTAATCCATAGCGATGACGAGGTCATCGTCATCGATAGTGAAGATGATGGTGCCGATCCTGCCCCGATCAGAGAAATGCAGTGTTTTGTCAACATTGAATCTCAAGAAGATTGTTTTTTTGTTGATGGGAGGCAGGAGGGTGACGAGATGGAGGAATTCGCGAGAGCTGGGTTTGATTCTTCTCAACCCATGTACTCACGCATGCACCTCCACATTGATATGCTAAACATCTTACTTCCAAGCCCAGATCCAGACTTTTGGGCTTCAATGTACAAGTAGGGAAGTTTGTTTAACCTTCTTATACTTCAATTATTTCTACAGTACTGGAATAATAATGGATTATGTGAGTTTGGATGGTTCAATTACTGTCCCTGCTCTTCCCTCGTTTTGGATACAGTAACAGTACTCCATATTGTTCATTTCTTTATGCTGCATGTGGATTTCCTTTAAAAGGGTCCTTAATTAACACTATGTTATCTGTTCCTCTCATGTTTGCAAGACTGTTGTGACCACTTTGTGTGATAAATGTCTGAGAACAATATGCCTACTGTGATGAAAATGTATCCATTTAAGGCTGTCTTTGGGTAGTGAGGGTATTACTCCTCATATGTGGTCTTACTCTGCCTTTGATTGTCCTATCTGTACACTATGTTAAATGTCCCTCTAATGTTTGGAAGACTGTTTGTGACCACTTTCTATGATGAATGTCTGAGAAGAATGAAGCCTACTGTGATGAGACTATATCCATTTAAGGATGTCTCTGAGTAGTGAGGGTTTTACACCTTCTATGTGGTCTTACTCTGCCAATGGGTGTCCTATCTGTACACTATGTTACCTGTCCCTCTAATGTTTGGAAGACTGTTTGTGACCACTTTTTATGATGAATGTCTGAGAAGAATGAAGCCTACTGTGATGAGAATGTATCCATTTAAGGATGTCTCTGAGTAGTGAGGGTTTTACACCTTCTATGTGGTCTTACTCTGCCAATGGGTGTCCTATCTGTATACTATGTTACCTGTCCCTTTAATGTTTTGAAGACTGTTTGTGACCACTTTATATGATGAATGTTTGAGAAGAATGAAGCCTACTGTGATGAGAATGTATCCATTTAAGGATGTCTCTGAGTAGTGAGGGTTTTACACCTTCTATGTGGTCTTAATCTGCCAAAAACTTATCTGTGGTTTTAGTACACTATGGTTTCTGTCCCTATGTTCTTTGTAAGACCTTATGTGGCCATTGACTGTGATGAATCCATAAGAATAATGAACCTACACCAGCAATGATGAAGTGGCAGTTATAAAAATATGATAAGCATATGATGGCAGTTGTATTTCATTATACATATGTTACAAATAGAGTAGTTTGTGTGTAGTTGCCTTGATGTGAGAACCAAAACCCAAAACCCAAAACCCAAAACCCAAAAACCAAAAAGTTATCTGTGGCTACCATTTACAAGCACATAAAACCACAAAACATAATGTGGTAACCACTCTCCAAAAACCCACAGTGGCAACCACTTACATACACTGAAACCCAAAAAGAAGTATGTGTTTAGTTCAACTCTGAAGATAGGTAGTCGTCTCCCTCTTCAGTGTTGAACTCAACCATTCCTTCATTTCTACCTGCATTCTGTTGTCCAACCAATCTTGCTGTCTTCTGAATAAGGTCCAGGTCTATGCTCAAAGACTTAGGAAGATTTCCTTCTCTGGCAAGTCTATCTTTCCCCATATGTGGTAATCTGTAGTTGTTACTGCCTTCATGTTCCATTACCTTAGTCAACACCTGCTGGTATGTCAACCAAACCTTGTTCAAGGTTTCTGGATTGAGGGCATTATATGCTCTTTGAACTGCCTCTAATAACTCTGGAACACTGGTTGGAGCACACTGTTCTTTTAAAGACTGGATGGCTCTAAAAAACCCAAGGTCCAGGACATTTAAATCTGGGGAGTTGGGGGGTTGATTATTTAGAGTGATGTGAAATCCATTTGTGTTACCTGCTGCCATAAAGTCAGAGTCCAGTCCTTGAATGTGTGGCCTTGCATTATCTTGCTGAATGTGTATGTCTTTAGATAACTGTGCTGGCCATTTTTCTTGGATACATGGAATGACTTGTTTGATCAGCATATCCTTTGTCACTTGCTTGGTAACACTAGTGATTGGCTTCACCTCCAACACCCCTTTTGCTCTGTTTTTACTCTTCCTCTGAGCTTGAACTGTTTCTGTGAAATGGAAAATGCCAACTTTTCCATCCCACAATACTTCTCCACTCTCAGCAAATAGTGGTCTCCCAACAACACACAAAAACATGACTTTAGTTATGAACTTTTTGGATTTACATGTTCTGTGTGGGTCAATTTCATCTGGAAGCAGGTAAAATTTTTGAGAAGTTTTGGACATATAAAACCACTTTTCATCAATGTGTAAAACATTGTGAAAAGTTTTAAACTGAGGGTGGATGGGCATGCTGTAAGGGTCTACTTGATCTAAACAGAACCTCAACCTTGATATTTTATTGCCATCAGTTAAGAAGGGTTTGATTGCATTAGAATGGCCCCTCAGCATACCTTTTTTTATCCATTCATGCACGGTTGACTTAGGCTTGCCAATTGCTGCAGCTAAGGATCTTACAGTAGTCCTCTTCCTGAGTGGAGTTTCTGCAATAGCATGTGCATCCATCAGTGTCCTTTTCCTGCCCTTCTTTCCTACCAATCGACTCCTCACATCGATGGCAACCCCCTGCTCTATTTGTTTCTTTGCAATTGCCCATATCTTGCTCATTGTTTTTCTAGATACATTAAACTGTGCAGCAAGTTTGTTGATATGCCCATACTAAGCTGAGTATGAACCATTAGGATTTTGCTTTGAATGAGCTAGTAATGTTTCACTGATTACCTGCCTCGTTGTGTTCTCCAACTTCTTCGTATTTATGTGAGGGTTTTCCACATCCATGTGTGTTTGCAGGCCTCCAATAAGTGCAGTTTCCAGCAAAATAGAAGAAAATGAAGAGCACAGAAGCAAGGATAGCAGCCCGAAGAAAGTGAAGATCAGCCCGATGAGATATCAAGAACAGCACCCCGAAGTGACGTGCAAGGACAGTAGCCCGGAGGGAATGAAGCGCGGGACGAAGAGAGTGCAAGGACAGCACCCTGAAGAAAATGAAGAGCACAGAAGCAAGGATAGCAGCCCGAAGAAAGTGAAGATCAGCCCGATGAGATTTCAAGAACAGCACCCCGAAGTGACGTGCAAGGACAGTAGCCCGGAGGGAATGAAGCGCGGGACGAACAGAGTGCAAGGGCAGCACCCTGAAGAAAATGAAGAGCACAGAAGCAAGGATAGCAGCCCGAAGAAAGTGAAGATCAGCCCGATGAGATTTCAAGAACAGCACCCCGAAGTGACGTGCAAGGACAGTAGCCCGGAGGGAATGAAGCGCGGGACGAAGAGAGTGCAAGGACAGCACCCTGAAGAAAATGAAGAGCACATATTCAAGAAAAAAACATGCTAAATAAGGAAATGGGAGGGAGCTTTTATAGGACTGCAAGAGGAAAGGGTGTTTTAAATTTTTTGGGAATGTTTGGGCGGGTAGTTTTGTAAAAATAGGAGGGAATTGGAAAGTTTTTTTGGATGATTTGGTAATGTAATGATGATATGATGTAATCAAACCCCATACTTGCCCACTTTTTGGAACCAGTACTAGTACTCCGTATTGTTCACTTGTTTATGCTGCATGTGTCGTCCTTCTCCTTCTTTTTTTTAGTAAGGGCAATCTTGTCATTTTATAGCCTTAGTCAACTCCCACTAAAAATGACCAAAAGTCAAACCGGGAACTTGAAATCCGGACGGAGGGAGTAATTTGGTAACATCATAATTTAAAACTTTATTTAAAATAACAGTGCAAAATTTTTGGAATAACATCAGAGTATAATTATTCAAAATAGTGCAGAAGCATTTGAAACTAAAATGTGATAAAATTATTTACTCAAATAACTAATTTGTGCACGTCCACACATCGCCTACATCTTAGTACCTCCAGTATGGGCGCCACATCTACCCACGTGTAGAAAGATGAAAAAGTTTACATGTTCAACAATGAAGCTGAGTGATATCATGGCACAACAAAAGAATTTACAGGATAAACTTCTTCTTGATGGCTACATAAGTTTTGACATCAAGGTCAATAAAAGAGTACATACAAATGAAGGATGTGTGTGCGGGGGTGCGTTAAAGGATGGTCGAGTTAAGTTAAGGTGGGTTAATATAATGTCAAAAGAACTTGCTTAAATTTAGACTAATGCTTACATGGTTTTAAGGTTCAGGTACATTTAAAATGTGGATTGGATCTTCTAGTATTTTCATAATCTTACATGTAGATATATTTTTTTTTACAAAAAAACTCATTTCTTTTATGCTACAGACACAGTAAGGTTCACAAAATTATAATGGACCTCAAGGCTATGAAAGAATTTTCCAAAAAGATAATTTTTGTTTATGTATATGTTTTCATTTATTATTTGATAAAATAAAATAGACATATTGATATTTGTTTCATAGAACTTTCAGTGTAATTTCTAAGTATGAAGTTTATGATTATTTTTTTTATCAATTGTAAATAAAGTTATTTTAAAGAAGATTGCAATTTTGTACGTTCGCTATAGGAAGGAAGATGAATATTTTACGAGGGAGGGTGTAGTTCTTTATTTATCACAAAAAAAAAGTCAATTAATTTTAGACGAGAATATAATTTATTCCTAACATGCATCGATCTACAAAAATAAACTCCGAAAATTGATAAGATTCTACGTAGTAAAACATAAGTATGGAATCTCATACTACTTTCTTTATTATTCTACTCTCTCGATCTCCGTCCTTGAAAATTTGTTAACTTTTAATTTTTTAATCAAAATTAATAAACTTTAATTTCAAATTAAATAAAAATGATGTTATATATTGATACAATAATAATAGTTTTATTGGATTTATCATATAAAACATTTTTAAAAGATAATTTTATATTAAACTAACATACAATATATATTTTATTTAATTATAGGTAATACAATTAATTGAAAAAAGTTAAAACCTAGACAAATCCGGAGTAGTTTTCCTGCCATGCATTTACTACTCCATCCGTCCTATAATGTTCTTCTCACTCACTTTTTACACGGTCAAACTTTTATCACTTTCTTTCCGTATTTTCATTAGGTATTTGATAAAATAATATAATCTTGTCACCACTTGTTTTGTAGAACTTTTGATGTAGTTTTTAAATATATAAATTTTATTTTTTAATTTTACACCTACAATCAAATTAATTGAATTGAAAATAAAGTCAGTCAAACTTCGTAAAATGAACCGGGAAGAACATTATAGGACAGAGTATTTTACTACTCCTTATATATTAACTAGTATTTCTACCCGTGCGATGCACGGGGTAATACACAATTTTTGTCGATTCTAAAATTTGTTCTGAAATTTATGTTTTGGAATAAAGAAAATATACTTCTCACACAATTTTTTATAACAATAGGTGTAAAATGCCAAAGTAGACTTAATAATATTCGAGCAATTGAACATAGACTGAACAATATTTATTTTAATACCAAATTTTTTGAAAGACTTCAGGGTATACAACATTCTTGGTATGGTTGTAATGGTTTCCATTGTCATCTAGAACTAATATTTTTAATCTCATCTCTGTCTTTACTCGCGAAACAGTAAAATAATCTTACATATGACAATGTTTGACCTTGACTTTTGTTGATAGTCATAGCAAAACATAAAACGATTGGAAATTGTCTCCTTTAGAACTTCATGGGTAGTCATGGATCAGATGGTACCAAATTCATTCTTGGAATGTAAACCTTTTCCCTGACTCGATTTCCCGACACCACAATTGCACCGATAACATTGTTTCGCAGCTCTTGAACGATTAATCTGGTTCCATTACACAATCCAGATGTCTGGTCAATCTTCCTCAAAAGCATAATCGACACCCTTTTTTTTAAAACTATTTTGTGGTTGGGGATTCCCGAACATTTGATTTTATTCAAAAACTTCACTCTTATCCAATCGCATCAACACCTACACCTGCATTTGATTGGCAAGAAAAATCAGAACTCAAGTACTCCTTTTCATCACCAGGAATAAGAGATAGGACAAATTCATTTATCATTTCAACTACTTCAAGAGTTTGTGCCAATAGTGCTCTATCCTCAAAAAAAATAATTTTTCATATTCTCTAACATATTCGAATAAGTGAAGTCTACTATACTTTTGATAGGTGAACTTGTGTCAGGAATTAAGAATTCAGGCGGAATATCGACATCACTAACTCCATCAATCACCTGACCTAGCTTTCCATCTCATATTCTT